GTTTTAAATAATAAAAACAAAAAAAAATTTAAAGTAATAATTCAGGAACTTTTACATTCACATATTTTAATTTCCTTCCCTGGCCTTCATTGTAAACTAATACTTTTTTCCCCAATGATGTCAGCAGGTTAATAAGTTATCAGCTGTGCAGTGACAGGGACATGTACTAGAGAAATATTAATTTCTCCATCCCCATTAATTATAATGACTCTAATGAAACACACAGTAGGCATTCAGTAAGTAACAGAATGAATAAATATAATGGACTAGAATCAAAAATTAAATTTATAAAATTCCACTTCAAATAAGTTACAGAGATAATCTTTTGGTTAAACTTTAGACATTTTGTATTCTTTGCTTTACAGTAACACAAGACATTTTCAGTTCAACTAGGTGGGGACATTAGGTAGAAAGGTCTATTAAACAATGAAAACTAAATACCTTGTTTTACCCACCATCAAATCTGAAAAAATTTCAACAGAGAAGCATCCATCACATTTATCCAAACTGAGGAAACAGATAAAACAATATGTGAGATTCGAACAGAAAATATGTAACACGCCAAATTTGGTTTTGCAAGACTCCATGCTTCTAAAAAGTGTCAAAAATCTTAGTCCAGTTTAACACAAAATCTATTTTTATGACCAATCAAACTTCTAAATCGCTAGTCTTGAAACAAGGCAACACCACAAAGGTCAGGGATCGCTGATAGAGAGCAAATAAATTGGAGTGTAATTTGGTTTCACAAGAAAGACTTCAGGCTATTTCTGAGGCCCAGGTGGGCAGCCCAGGTAATCTCCACCCTGGAAATACATACAGGGAAGATCTAGAGAGGACACATCCAGAGAAGACTAGACAATGCCCGAGATATCCCCAAAGAGCTCTCAACCCTGGTCTGATCCCCGTAGTCTCATCGCCCGAAGAACTAAATCGCCTCACATTCCAAGCTCATCCTCAACTCCCCGGCACTCCGCCTTCTTTACTAAAACCTGGGTCCCTCTCCTCGACATGCTCCAGCTCCCCGTGAGCGTCCACCGTAGGCGGAGAGGTGTCTACCGAGCCTGCTAGGAGAGAATTAGTCCCCTAATCCGGCTCCTCTGCCCGCACCCGTCTGCCCTCCGCCCCTTCAACTCTGGCCCATCACGCTGACCCTTTTCCCAGAATCCTCCCCAGGTCGCCGCCCGAGCTAGGGCTCCGTCTCCCTCCCGCCCTGCTTCTCCAGCTGCCTCCAGCCGGCGGGGCCTCCAGGCCGCGGGTCCCCAGGTTCCCTCCGCCCCCCCGGCGCCCTGGCCCGGCCCGGCCCCGGCCCCCAACTCCGCCCCTCTCCCCCTCCCCCAGAGGCAGGCCCCCCTCACCTGAACGCCGCGGCCGTCCCAAACGCTGAAAGGTGCTGGCGCCGGCCGGCCTCCCGGGCTCAGTCCCCGCCGAGCTCCCGCTGCCCCTAGGGAGAGCGAACGCCACCTCTTCCAATTCTACCAGCCCCGGGCCAGGCCGTCACCGTAGCCACCGCCAGTACCACAGCCGCCATGTTGAAGGTCTACTTCCCTCCTCCTTCCCCTGGTTGCCCCGCCCCTTCGGGCGTCTGACGTTATGGCGCTGCGCCTCACTCTCCGAACCAATGGGAGGAGCCGAGCCGACAGTGACGTAACTACTTCCCTCTTCAGGAACCTAAGGAGTCCTGCAACCTGGAGCTTTGGTACAGAAATGACAACCCTGCTGACCTAAAGGGAAGGAAGGAAGAAGTGTAAGACTCAGGGTTAGAGACGAAGCGGGAACCTCAGAGCCTTGAATCGCGAGGGGACGCGTGAAGAGGTAGCCGTGAGTCTGCTTTGGAAATTAGAGACCCAGGAATAAGTCATACCCTCGCTAGGTCTCACTCTGCTATTTTTGTTTATTTCGGTTTTTTTTGAGACAGGCCGGCCTCGAACTCACAAACATCTGCCTGCCTCAGCCTCCCCGGTGCCTGGGATTAAAGGCGTACGCTTACATTTATTTTTGTTTTTGTGATTTTTTGTATTTGAAATAGGGCCCCATGTAGCCCAGACTCGCATTTTTAAATTAATTGGTTGAAAAGTAACTCAGGGGGACTGGAGAGATGGCTCAGCGATTAAGAACACTGACTGTTCTTGCTGGAAGACCCAGGTTTGAATCCCAGCACCCACATGGCAGCTAATTGTCTGTAACTCCAGTTCCAGGGAATCCAACAGCCTCTTCTGTCTTCCGCGGGCATTGCACGACACGGGTGCACTTACATGCAGGCGTATCACTCATACACAAAAAAAAAAAATAATAAATAAAAAATCTTAAAAAAAAAAAAAAAAGTAAGGCCGGGCGTGGTGGCGCACGCCTTTAATCCCAGCACTTGGGAGGCAGAGTCAGGCGGATCTTTGTGAATTCGAGGCCAGCCTGGTCTACATAGTGAGTTCCAGGACAGCTGGGGCTACAAGGAGATCCCGTCTCAAAAAAACAAAACAAAAATAAAGTTCATGGTCAATGGGAGAAATAAGATCATACAGCATTAACTCCAGTAAAGGTCAAAGTGATAGTGGAGTAACAGGTGCTAGAGATCAAACCCAGGGCCTGCTGCATGCTAGACAAGTGCTATCATTAGGTTACATCCTTAGCCCTCAGCTAGTGCCTGGAATAATTTACTGCTACCTAAGGGATTAGGAAAGATGTACACCTCTACTCTATGTAAAAGCATGTGTACATTACCATGTCTACATTTCCACCTGTGTTTTGCCTCTAGAACTTAAGTAGCAGGCAAGATCATTTTTGTACTTTGGAGAATGAGGCAGCTCTAACTCTGGATACAGCATTCCAGCAAGGTAGGAGATAGATTCCACTAGATTAAAAGTTCTGCAGTGGGGGTTAGAGGGATAGCTTAGCAGTTGAGAGCACTGGCAACTCTTGCAGAAGACCTGGGTTCGATTCCCAGCACCCACATGGTGGCTAACAACCATCCATGACTCCAGTTCCAGGGGATCCTAATGCCCTCTTCTGATCTTCTTGGGCATTGTGCAACATGGGTGTACCTACCTACATGCAGGCAATACACTCATACATATGAAAATAAAAAGTTCTGCAGTATAGAGAAATGTAGAGAGGAGAGTCTCTCTCTCTCTCTCTCTCTCTCTCTCTCTCTCTCTCTCTCAATGGTGGCGTGGTGTTGGTGTTTGAGCTAAGGACTTTCTCTGTAATCCAGGCTGGCCTCAAACTTGGAATCCTCCCTCCTCACCCTTGTGAGGATTTTTTTTTTTTTTCAGTCTTTTTGAGACAGGGTCTCCCTGTAGCCCCAGCTGTCCTGGAACTCACTATGTAGACCAGGCTGGCCTCAAACTCACAGAGATCCGCCTGCTTCTCCCTCCCAAGTGCTGGAACTAAAGGCATGGGCCACCACATCCGGCTCTGAGGACATTTTTAAGCCCGACTCTTAGCGGTCTCTATTATTAGGAGATACAAGAATTAGCTGGGGCACAAGAGAGTAGCAAATTCCAATAATCCCAGTACTTGAGAAACTGACACAGTATGATCAGGAAGGAGTTCACAGTCATCCTCTGCTACATATTGAGGTATCAAGTTTGAGGCCAGCTTTGGCTTATGAAACCCAGCTGCCCACACACACACCCATGTTCAGCCAAACTCAGCTTAAGATGATGGTAAATTTTTCTAAACAGACTTGAGTCCTTTCTGTATGCCAGCCATTTTTCCTAGTACTAGGGATACATATATGTAAAAACACTGAAAATTTGAGGCAAGGGGATTGCGAATTCCAGGTTAGTTTGCCTGGGCTACACAGCAAAACTCTGTTGTAAAAAACAAGCAAACAAAAAAAAAAAAAAAAAAGTGATGTATAATATGTATACGTAATTTGTGTTAAAATTTTCTTTGTTTCTATAATCTTGTCTTCTCTGTGAAATTGAGGCCAGCCTAGTCTACATAGTGAATTTCAGGCCAGCTGGGGCTCCAGAGAGACCCTGTTTCAAAAAACAAAAAAAAAAATTCTGAGCCAGGCATGATGATACACTCCTGTAATGCCAGTGTTCAGAAAGCTGAGGTAGGAAGATTTCTGCAAATTTGAGGCTAACCTGGGATACATAGTGAGTTAAAGACCATTTTGTGCTACATAGTAAATTTAGGGCCAGCCTGAGCTGTATACCAAAACCTTGTCTCAAAGCCCCCACCCCCCCAACTCCAAAATTCTATACTGGGCTGGGGATGTAATTCAGTGGTGGAATATTTGCTTAATATGTGGAAGGTCCTGGGTTCAAATCCCTAACACTGAAAAAACAATTCTGAGGATGGGACTCTGGAACAATGATAAGCAGAGTGGCATTCTGCTTAAGTGAGAGAAAGGAAGGAACTAGGGCCAGGTATAATAGTACACACTTGTAATCCCAGCACTTAGGAAGTGGAGGCAGAATGAGCAGGAGTTCAAGGCCATCCTGAACTACATAGTGAGTTTGAAGTTATTTGGGGCTACATGAGACCCTATCTCAAAAAAATTGGGGTTAGGGGTAAGGCTAGAGACATGTCCCTAGAAAAACAAGTATGTCTTCATCCTCCCGGATGTAATTCATATTTGTCGGTTTCTAGGTGTGACTTGCATGGGGCCAGAACAGGTAGAATAGGATGCCAGTCCTCTGCTGCTCCAGCTTTCCAGCCTAGCTTCCCTAGATATAAGTACCCTTGTTGCCTGCAACAGCACTCTAGAACAAGGGACACCAGTTTATACTTTTCCCACTTTGTCCCTTCATCCCTCCTTATATAGCAGGCATTTGAAATGTCTAAGAAAACAGGCAAAACCTCTATTTCTACAATCTTTCATTTAGTTATCTAGCATTAACTAATTCCTACCATATGATAGGTACAGTAAGTTGACAAAGACACTTGTAAGGGCTGGGGAGATGGCTCAGTGGATAAACACTTGCTACTCAAGCAGGTGGACTGGAGTTCAGGTCCACATAAAAGCAAGGCAGGTGTGGCAGGCACCTGTAATTCCTATCTTGGTAGGCAGAGACAAGTGGATCCCTGGGGCAAGTTGGCTAGCTAGGAAGCCAAGAGCAGTCAAGGAAGACATCCAACCTCAACTTGGCCTCTACATGCATATTCACACAAAACAGAACAAGAAGATGCTTTGAAGAAATTCCACTCCCAGGTTTGGTTCCCAGCACACACATGGTGGCTAACAACCATCTATAACTCCAGTTCCAGGGAATCCAACACCTCTTCTGGCCTCTTCGGGCCTTGCACATATAGGTGCACTTATATACTTGCAGACAAAATACTCATAAAAAATTAAGTAAATTAAAAAAAGCAGGGCATGGTAGCACACACCTTTGATCCTGGCACTCAGGCACATAGTGAGTTCAGGCCAGCTGAGGCAACTGGAAGACCTTGTCTCAAAACAAACAAAAAAAGTCCACTGGAGGAATTAAACAACTATATAAATGGACTCTACAGAGACACAGAGCCTACAGAATATGTATATAGATACTTGAAAGGGAATTTATTAGGGAAACCAGTTAATAGTATTATGGCAGCTGAAAAGTACCACTACAAGCCAACTGCAGGGTAGGGACCCTGGGATGCTGGTAGTGTGGTCCAGTCCAAATCAAAAGGCCTCAGAACTAGAGAAACAGAACTAGAGTTGAGTCAGAAAACCTGAGTACCAGAGAGGGGGCACCAGTGCAAGTCCTGGAGTCTAAAGACAAGTATGATGGTCAGCCTTGATTATCAACTTAATTGGATTGAGAGGTATATAGAAACTTAGTATACCTCACTTTTGGATGTGTCTGTAAGGATATTTCCAGACAGGGCCAAGACCATCATGGAATGTGGGTAGCATGATCCCATAAGCTGGGGTCCTAGATAGAGTATAAAAAGGAAGGAGGCCGGTCTAGAGAGATGGCTCAGCGGTTAAGAACACTGGTTCTTGGGGCTGGAGAGATGGCTCAGCGGTTAAGAACACTGACTGCTCTTGCAGAGGACCAGGGTTCAGTTCCCAGCACCGACATGGCAGCTACAAACCGTCCTTAACTCCAATTCCAGGGAAATCTGAAGCCCTCTTCTAACCTCCATGGCATTGCATGACATGGGTACACTCACATACATGCAGGCAACACACTCATACACATAAAATAATATTTTTAAAAATATTTTAAAGCCGGGCATGGTGGCGCACACCTTTAATGCCAGCACTCAGGAGGCAGAGGCAGGCAGATCTCTGTGAGTTCAAGGCCAGTCTGGTCTACATAGTGAGTTCCAGGACAGCTGGGGCTACAGGGAGACCCTGTCTCAAAAAGACCAAAAATAATTTTTTATTTATTATTTTTATTTGTATGTGTGTATTGCCTGCATGCAGGTAAGTGCACCCATGTCGTGCAGTGCCCAGGGAGGACAGAAGAGTCTGTCAGATCCCTTGGAACTGGAGTTACGGACAGTTGTTAGCTGCCATGTGGGTGCTGGGATTCAAATTTCTGCAGTAACTGTCAGTGTTCTTAATCATTGAGCCATCTCCCCAGCCCTTATAAGTAAAGTATAAGAAAAAAAAAATAGAACATTG